GCTTTCCAAAGACATTTAATAGCACAGTAGAGCTATCTGTAGAAGACTGGACATTTCATTATCAAGTTGTAAAGAACTCTTTAAGGGAATATCGTCAGATCCTACTGTCCACCGACAGGACAACCTGTGTGCTCTTCCTGAGGTGTTTGGAGTTAGTTGGGCACTGACTCTGGGCTCTCTAATATTTGGGCCCTTTTCCAGAGTCATATGGATAAAAAAAAAAAGTCCTGAAATAGACTTGGATATGCCGGTCTTAATGCTTAATAGCACTGAGATTTGTCAGATAGGCCAGACCACAAAAGCCAGTCCAGACTCAGAGTGCTTTCACTCCGTTTCTGTTGCATTACCTCAGTTAGTAGGTAAGGGAAAATGGGAAGTCAGAGACGCTCCTGCATGATGACGCCCAGTCTGTGACCCTAGCCTCACTCACCTATACATTTGAGGATGCAAATGGGATGCCTTGCTTCGCATGAATGGCATGCTCAGGGTGGCTCAACAGGTAAAGACATCTACCGCCAAGCCTCATGACCTGAGTCTGAGGCACCAGCAACCACGTGGCTGGAGAGAACTGACTCCGACAGTCATCCTCCGGCTCCCACATCCATGCTGTGGTGGGAGTGCACATGCACTCACACATGCACTCACACATGCACTCACACATGCACATGCACACACAAACTAAACAAGACTGTGAATTTATAAGTCTTTAGAAAGACTGCCTTTCTGCAGTTTTTGGAATCTTGTTAATCTCCTGTGCTTGCTGTGTCCTATAGTTGGGGCTGACAGTGAGGCACTGACACTCAGTTCCTCAAATACGAGATTCTAATAATGATTCTTGCTTTCTTCTGGCCTCTTTGAAACCTTTTATTCCTTTTCTTTGACAACCTATTTGGGGAAAGTGGTCTTATGAACTGTGTGTCGTTAGAGATGTTCTTACTGTAGTTGTCACATCTGCTATAAGATAGCATCTTCCATATGTAACAGGAAGGATGCACAGTCTCAGCAGTATGGTTGCCTAAACAAGACTTAAAAGATGGACACCACCAGTCAACATGCCAACATGAAGGAGGGTTTCTCCCAGGACTTGACCTCTAGAAGAGTAAGAACTACAGACAACTGAAGGCTGCTGGTCGAGGGGAATGAGTCCCCCAGGGACATGCCCTGCTAGGTTAACTAGTCCCACGAGGTCAGCCTAAACACATGAGAATGCTGAATGATTTCAGAAGGTTGTATGTATAAATGTACACACACATACAAATAATGATTCAAGGGTTGAAAGGAAGTAGACAGAAAGGGAGGGACGGATGATGGAAATCCTTGCATATGACATTCTCAATAAATAATTTTAAAAGGGAAAATAAATGTTCAAAAGTCAAATTAATAAGACTTTCATTTTTTTGTGTTTCATTTCATTGTATTTTAGAAGGGCCACGAACAGGCTTTTGCCTCTGTATCCTTTTCTCTCATCTAGAACGTATACTTCAGTTAACATTGGCAGGCTCAAAAATCCTGTAAGCATCTCTAGATTCTGGCAAACGTATTTCTAGTATCAGCTCCCAAACTGTTCACAGTGTTTCTCTGGCATAATGAAGCCTTTGGCCATCACTGCTACTTTGAAAATCAAAGCTTTTTGGTCTCTAATGGAATGTTTATAAAAATGCACCATTTTGAAATTTGCTCGGGAAAAGGAAGTAATGTTAAATGATACTTAGAAATCCCTCTGGCTTGCCTTGGCATTGCTTCCTTTAATGTTATGTACTCTGGAAATATCTGGAATTAGTAGGAATAAAAGAGTATTAAAATCAAAAGATAAATAAGCTCTTGTGTTCATTGTCTTATTTCTTGAAGGTATGCCATTATATGTGTATACTTGGTTGTTTTTTCTATATGATAACTTACTTACCTTTTGCCAAATTAATAGAAGTGTCTTGGATCACTAAAACTTACCTGACCTGGGTCAAAACTTCAGCCTTTTCCTCAGGTTCAGAAAGAGGGAAAGCTTTCTGGATAGAGCTGTAAGGACATCAAGCCTGTAGTTAGACAGCTGTGCTGTATAAAGTCTGCAATAAAAAGCTATATGCTGCTTTGCTTGTTGTAAATCAAATAAGAAATCACATGTATGAAATGTGTTTGACTTACTAATGTAATGACTTTCATGCTTAGACATAAAAGGACAGAGGACTTAGCTTGTTCATTCTGTAGTGTTGGCTCTACCTTAACGAATGGACTAATGTAGCTTAAAGTAGGAGGCTTATATTTATATGAGATATTTAACAAGGGACTGCTGTATATCAAGAATGATTCTAACCGTGTAGCAGTGAATGCAGACCCCGAGGCCCTCTACCCTCCTGGCATATCGACTATAATAGAGGAGCCAGAAGACAAATTAGTTCCCATGGATTTGACTATTTCTGTCAGTGTGCTCATTAGCATGGTTAAAAAAGTCCCATCACTTAGTATTATAAGTTTTTGTGAAGTGTTAAAATGGAGTGTTGGAGTTCTCAAATCACTGACCTATCAGAAAATAACCTAACTTTTTCAATAAGTTGTGCTTTGCTTGTCCAACTTCATATATTGTTTGATGCTACTGTCTGTTAGTTCCCAAGGCACTTCAGCTTTTCTCTCTGAAATGATAGAAAAATATGACTAGGAATATCAGTAGAACCTTTGCTACATTAAAAAAAAAAAACCATTAAGTGAGGCCCAGGAAGGTGGCTCAGTGAGCAAGAGCTCTCTGCACAAGCATGAGGGTCTAAGGAAGGATTCCTGGCACACGTCAAAAGCTCTGGCTGGGCACAGATACTGCTGTTGGAAGTTAGGAGGACCATGGGAGCCTCAATCTATCCAGAATACAGCATACTCTTAAGTTCGGTTGAGAGACCCTATCTCAAGCAGTAAGGAAGAAAGTGAGAGAAGACACTCAGTTGTCATTCTTTGTCCTCTGCACAGCACACATACATGTCTACAACACACACACACACACACAAATGCATGCATGCATGCACACACAATTTAGTAGCCTCTGATATGCTGTCTGGTGGCATTACTTGATTTTAAACCATGTGGTCTTTTTTATATGAAGATATCTGTGTTATAAAGTCTGTACTTTAAAAAATGAATCTCTGTGAGTAAATGTAAAAGGCTGTCACTTTCACTCTTTGCATTAAATAAACATGCTACACCGTTTTCCCATTTAAAAACATGCAGGTTACTTGATTATGCCAGAGTGGTTTCAATCAGGAACTCACACATATGTTTGCAGAGTGCACTCTCATCTTTGTCTACTTTTTTCAAATTCTCTTACAGAGCTATGGCTTTGCTATGAACTATATTTAGAAGCCAAACATTTTTTAACAAAGAAAAACTCTGACATTGTTTAACTAAGTTCTTGTAGTAGCAAACTTTGTCTTAAGACGAAGAAGCTTGTCCCTGTAGTTTTTGGTTTTATTATGTCTCTTGCTTTTGTCTTGCAGTTCAGAAGCTGAAGGCAATGTGCTTTGGGACTTGAGTTAATTGCAGTGAGGAGATCAATATTCAGCAGTTGTATCTTTTAGAGCCCTTTCTACCCTGAGATGTGATGATTCTATATTTACCTTTGCTCTTGCCTTTTTCTATCGGAAGCAAGAGAGCAGAGGTCATATGAGTGCTATGCTGGAGAGAAACTGGGCCAGGGGTTGGGGAGGTGACAGCATTGAGTGGCTGTCTAGAACATACGGTTGACTGTGCAAGATATAGTTGCTGATGGCTTCTTGTACTCTTTCTTATGGTTTACTGCTGATACATGTTCTTAGTTTTGATTATTTTTGTAATTAAGAAAGGGAAGAAAAAGAATAGTTCTTAGAGCATACCTTCTCAAATACCTTTCTGACCACAGACAGCTCTCAAATTCTTAGCTATCAGTTAGTATGGAAGTTATCAAGAAAACAACTAAGGCTCTAAAGGAGTTTTAGAAAGTAAAGGGGTTTTTGGTGGTATCCTAAGAAAACAGTTTCCTTTAAGAATTCTCACTCATCATCAGATAGAATGAATGAGCTGCAGTAGCATTAATAAATCTGTGTCTCCAGCCCCAGATGCACTCCCAACCTGTACTAGCTGCTCAAAAATTGTTTTCTCCACTGAACCCAGTACCCATTCTTGACAGAATAATGGAAAATAGATAGTACCAGGTAACGAGTGCATTTTTGATGTTCTTTCTAGTCACTCTCAAATATACCCCTTCAGAAAGTATAAAAATGTTTTTATGCGTAGTATGTTGGAACCACAAGCACTGACTTCGTATTTCAAAGTTGGAAGAAATGAGATTGATGTCCTACACAGTTGTAAAATGCAGAAAATAGGAGAGCTGGAATGAATTAGAGCCCAGTGTTGAGAGAGGCCAAGAGAAAGCTTCATATCAGCAGTGACTGTAATTGAAAGGGTCCAAATAAGTATTTAAAACCTCCCCTCCTGAGACGTCTGGATTTCTGAATTTCAAATTGACATTTTATGTTTGACAAGGTGACATTGTATAAGAAATGTATTGTAAAACACTGCTGTGCGATAGGAAAATGATTGAATGTAAATATTTCAAGATGTGGACCACTGTTCAAATGTTATCATAAATCTTTGCCATTGTTTTAGGGGATAACTCTTCATGCATATGTGAGCTGGATTGATAGCTCTTAGAAAGGAAATCATCAGTGGGTTTCTGCCTTTGTCTCAGACATTAGTCTGACTTTACTACTAAAATGTCTTATTAGATTTTGTGCTATCATGTGCTTATTATTACTCATTATTAAGTGTAATCATTTTTTGAAGGTACTACACCAGAATTGCTTTTTGTTCTACTCTGGAAAAGGAAGTGTTCCAAAATCTCACTTACGTGATTGAAACTGTTACTGATATGTGGGTGGGGACAGTTTACACTTCAATTTTATAAAAAAACAAAAAAAACAAAAAAAACAAAACAAAAAAAAAAACAGCCTGAGCTGTGTCATTAACCATCCTTCCATTCTTTCCAGGTTTGGAAGGTTTACAGTTGCTGCTCTTCAGTCCAAAGTAGAACAGTATGAACGCGAAACCAATCGCCTCAAGAAAGCTCTGGAACGAAGCGATAAATATATCGAGGAACTAGAGTCTCAAGTAGCACACCTGAAACACTCGGAGGAAGCAAAGGAAGACATGGATGCCCTTTGCCCGAGGGCACCCTCTCCAGACGGCCAGGGGCCCGACAGCATCGATGAGGTCGTACCCGCAAAGAGTCAGAGTGACAGTGCCAGGCAGCAAGCCAGTTCTGCTTCTCACCTGGCCACACCTTCTAGCAGCAGACTAGCTGACACCAATTCTGTCAGACAGGAGAGCACCAGCAGAACTGAACCAAATTGTCCTCAAAACAAAGACAGATACTCCAAGCCCACAGAGCCACGGCTGGGTGCGAGAGAGACGCCAATGAACACTTATTTGGAGAGAGAGTGGAACAGCAAGCCCAGCGACTGTGCCCCTTACAAAGAGGAAGAGCTTTATGGGCTCCCAGCTTCCTGTACTCCCTTGTCACTTAGCTGCCTTCAGCTGAACACTCCAGAAAACAGAGAGAACCCTGTGATCAAAGCAGGGAGTTCCAAAAAGCATGCAAACCATCTCAGAAAACTGGTATTTGATGATTTCTGTGATTCTCCAAATGCCTGTAATAACAATTCTTCAGAGGATGATAGAAGGGAAAATGAAAAGAAATCAGACTGTTTTGCTTCCTCAAAGACAGGATTTTGGGATTGTTGTTCCACAAGCTATGCCCAGAGCTTGGAGTTTGATAGTTCAGAGGGGAATACAATAGCAAATTCTGTTGGGGAAATACCTTCAAAATTGAGTGAGAAGTCAGGAGCGTGCTTGTCCAAGAGACTAAGTTGTATTCGCTCCCTTGAAATGAATCGAACAAGAACATCCAGTGAGGCATCCATGGATGCTGCTTATCTTGACAAAATCTCTGAGCTGGATTCGATGATGTCAGAGTCTGACAACAGCAAGAGCCCTTGTAATAACGGTTTTAAATCGGTGGAATTGGAGGGGTCCTCAAAGTCACCTCAAGGCAGGGAGTTTCTTGAGGAACCTGACAAGTTACAAGAAGGAACTAAACTGAGTCTTTCCAAACATGCTCTCACAGCTGACGGGTTAGAGAGCGGGAGTGAGTGGAAACCCACCTCTTTTTTTCTCCTTTCCCCAGCTGACCATGAGATGAGTGAAGATTTTTCTCTCCACTCCACTTCTCACTCAGGAGCTAGTGAAGTCAAATCTCAAAACTGTTTGTTCCAGACAGAGTTTTCCCAGGGTGTTCTGTTAAGCGGTTCTCAAGGATTATTTGAGGATCAGAGGTTTGGATCGTCTTTATTTAAGATGTCCTCAGAGATGCAGAGCCTTCACAGCCCACTTCAGTCTCCATGGTCTGCTGCCTTTGTGCCTGAGAAGAGGAGTAAGAACGTGAACCAGTCAACAAAGAGAAAGATACAGAGCAGCCTTTCCAATGCCAGCCCATCCAAAGCGACCAAAAGCTGACTCACCAGGGAGGTTGCCTTGCAAGGGGTGGGGGTGTTTTCAGTGTTTCTGTAGTCACTTCCTGAAGGTTCTCTACAATCCTGAACTGATAATCTTCAGGCAAGTGTCAAGTCAGAACGGTGGGTTTACCTGTCTCCGGGATACTTCATCTTGAAGAAACTTTGGCCTGTCACTTTCATTTGGTCATCTTTTAACCAGAGAGGTTAGGGAGAAGGTCTGATTTGTCTCTGTTGTTTGTTCTGCTTTTAATGAATGTTATATGTATCTGGATTGGCTCCGTGCTGTTTTCTCAGATCTGACCTGTTAGATATGGTGGCCTGTTAAGACTCAACTGCTTTCAGAACTTGTGTTTCTTAGGACAGTTGGTATTGTCTGGTCTGTTCTTTAAAGCTTTTCCTAGAATGGAAATTTGTATGCCTCTTTTTATTTATGTCTAATGATGGCCTAACTATTACCAAGGCCATGCTGGAGAAATGGCACTCCGATCTTAGAGGATTCACTAATTTTTTTTTTTTTTTTTTTTTAGGTTTTATATAGATGTTTACAATTTGTTACATTGTGTTCTGTCTATTTTGTGGGCGTGTGTGTGTGTGTGTGTGTGTGTGTGAACTACTATGAAAGAACACATTGTTTGTATGAAAATACTATTTCAGGTCGTTTATATTTGCCTATCTTTGAACGTATATGTGTACGTAAGTGTAAAGTTAGAATCAGATCCGCTGGGTTTGGAGGAACTTAAACATCCTAGCTTTTTTTCCTTATGTGTAGGTAGAAAGGCAGTCTGTTAGGTGTTTGACCTGTTGTGTCACAGGGAGCGTTTGTGTAATAAAGTTCTGTTTGCATGTTACTGCTCACTGTGGCAGCTGTAAGCATGGGAGCCTGTTCACTCGCTCCGTTCTGCAACCAGAGGAAAAAACCACCTCCTATTGGTTAGTGAATATCTATTATGCAGGACATTTTTTTAACTGAAAAGTAACAGGTGTGAATGGGACAATGTGAGAGCGAAGCACAACTGTTAGTGTAGGCTTTAAAAGTATGTCATTTTAAACATGTTTGGTGTGCCAGCCTAAGCTATAAAAATGTCTGTATGCTAATAACTTGCTTATCTAATGTGTGCTGAACATTTTACATGTATTGTCTTACCTTAACACTGCATGCTTTTTTATGTGACTTAAATAAAGGATGCCATATGCACTACAAGCGTTTGATGTCATCATGGATATGAATGAGCCTCTAAAGACACCGAATCCTATTTTCAGTTCATGTTATAATGGTCAGCCATTGACCAACCGTGGACGTAAGGTGAGCTGCACATGTTTTGTGTATAGTGCAGAGACAGGGGCCCAGGACCTTGTGGACACAAGGCCAGTGTTCTAGTCCAGCAGCAGCTGCAACCACAACCTGCAGCTACTTTTGAAAGGTCTTAGAGGAAAAAAAAAATTGTAATGGTCTCACTATATTTTTAGTAAAAAGGTACTTCATAGCACACCAAAAACAAGATATGAAATTCAAATTGTGTTTCTAAGTAAAGTCTCATTAGAACATAGCTACACTCTTAAGTGTCTGTGTGTGCTTCTGACGAGAACAGGAGAGCTGAGTACTTGCCTCAGTGACTGACTGTGGCTCACAAAACCTAAAATATGTACTGTCTGCCCTTTCAGTTAAGAATTTGCTGACCCTTGTTATAATAGACTCTGAGGATTCAACGGAACCATAAAAATACAACAAATCACTTTTATGATCTACAGAATCATCTTCTCCACTTTCAGAAGTAATAATAATGGGGTGGGGGTGGGGCTAACAGGATAGTATTTGTTTTATCATACATATTTTCCAATAATTCATTTCTTTGCCATGGTAAAACTAATGGGATACTTTCAGAGCTAGTGGCGATACATCTTTGATGATATGGTTATACATTTAGAATCCATGTAGAAATTAAGGGGATTTTTGTCATGATAAGTATAAGTGCTGTACCCTGAATATCACCCAAATTAGCTATATTGAGATAGAACCCCCAGGTAATGATTTTAAGAGGCAGTATCCTTCATAAAAGAGTGGGGTTAAGGACTTTGCAAGCAAAGTAGAGGACACTTGCTTAAGTCTTGTGGACATAGCTATAAAGCCCACATTTCATCCTTCCACTGAAGGTGATCATTCTCTAAGATTTAAGGGTTAGGGTTAGGGTTAGGGTTAGGGTTAGGGTTAGGGTTAGGGTTATGTCAATGTAGTCATGGCTTCATTCTTCCTTACTCTTAGTGTCTGATTTCACGATAAATAGGCAGCTCCACACACTGTTAAACATACATACTATGTCCAATCCAAACAAAACGCTTTTGATGGGTTGGGGATGTAGCTCAGATGGTAAAGTCCTTCGTCGCTATGCCCAGTGGCCTGTGTCCCACCCCAGCACTGCATGTACCCTGTGTGCTGGAGCACACGTGTTGATCCCAGCACCTTTGAGGTAAAAGCTAGATGATCATATGTTCAAAGGCAGGAGAGATGGCTCAGTGATAAAGAACACTAGTTGCTCTTGCAGAAGATCTCCATTCCACTGCCAGAACCCATATGGCAATGCAGAACTAACTTCAGTTCCAAGGAATCAGATACCCTCTTCTAGAGCTCTGAGGGCACCACGTATGTTCTGGAGCTCTGAGGGCATCAGGTATGTAGGTGGGGCACAAATAAACAAGGCAAAACAACCATATGCATAAAATGTGATGACTGATTTAAAAACGTCATCCCATCTAAATGTGAAGTCTTCTGTTTTATTGAGCCATCCTGAACTACGGACAAGTTATAGGCCAGCCTAGGATACACAAGACCCTAACTCAAAACCCATGCACTTGAAGCTACATGTTTTTCTAGCCTCTGTTTCATATAATCCACTTTCAAGACTTTCAGTTTGTCAAAAGCCAAGTAGAACTAGCGGCCACACTGCTGGAATGTTTTGAAACCAGAGTTTGGAACCAGATGTCTAACTGCAAAGGTGCTTATCTTCCTTGTCCATATTTGTATAAAAGGGGTAAATGTGTCTGGGATTTCTTGCAGCAGATTCTTTTTAAAGCATCTTGGGAGTGTTTATGTCTAAATAGCATTCAATTCCTGCCTATTTTCCTGAGTCTAATTTACACTAAAGCTCAATGCCGCACGTGTATATCCTGTTACATTTGAAGGTTTAAGTTAGGATGTCAGGCGGCACAGTTGTTTAGAGCACAGTGCTTTAAAAAGTTCACAGTATCAGCCCCGGTAGCCTAATGGATAAGGCATTGGCCTCCTAAAAAGTTCACAGTAACTGACATTTGTATGAACTAGGTCTTCCATATTGGTTCATTTCACTAAAGCCACATTGGGAAAAGACACTCATTCAGTTCATGGCTTTTTATAGGGGCAGCTTTTAATAGTTAATCTCTAAAAAGTCATGTCTACATTGCTCTCTGAAAATATTAGAGGTTCTGTCATGACAGTGTAGTCCCCTTAATTACAAATCTTTACCCCATTTAAAAGTTAAGTCCTCTGTTTTATTGAATTACCTAACACACACACAAAACACGTAAAAACAGACTAAGTTTCACAGGCCCCTAGCTTCGAATCTGCATTGTTTCCTCTCTTTGGTACCTGTACTGGCTTGAAACGATACCATTGACCAAGGGTTCTTGGTCTTGGGCTATGTAATGTTTCCGGACCACATTTGTTGCTACAGACCTGATGGTTTCTAGTTATTAAAAATGTAACACATACAGGAGATTTTCTCCCTTGCTCTTTACCTGTGGATGGTATGTGTAGTGAGTACCAAGTTGAAATGAACAGTTCATGGTGTCCAGCCTGTTAGACTAGAAGAGTTTTCCAAAGCCTCTCAGAAGGTCTTTTCATTCCTGTGTGTGGGAGTCCTGGGAAGCAGCCCTTGCCTATCACAATGTAACCTGATCCCCTTAGATAATACTTGGCAGAGAGAAAACCTTTTAAGCAATGATCTCAGAGTACAGAGTGAACATTTATTGCCTAATTCTCGGAACTCTACTCACAGCGAGGAAGCATCTATTAAGGTGCAGCTTTAAGAATCCATCTGGAGCATGGCTAGGGTGAGCTCAGTTTGACAGAGGCAGTCTAGAACACCTTGGGTTGAGTTCCTCCTTTTCAGATAAGGTGGTGTGATAGCGAGCAAACAGCAGGCCCTCTCTAACACAGTTAAGGTTGCATTAAACTTGAGGGCTTTTTGTGTTAAGGTACAAAGACCCACTCTCCTAAAGGCAAAGATTTGTTCAGGCATTCACCAAAACTTAGTGTGAGGAAAGAGGATCGAATTTTGATCCTATTTGATGCTTACAACATAGGTAAACAAAGTCTGGAAGCTTCTCAGAGGTGTTTTCTCCTTAGAGTCTTGAAGCAAGTTGAAGGCTGAAGAGGGCCACTCTTCTGCATGTCTGGGTGCCCTGGAAGGAACCAGTTATTTTAGCAGGCTTCTTGGAAGAGGTACGGAAATCTAGGCTCCTACTGACAGAGTTTCCGGTAGTGTTCCAGCCACCGCTCTCAAGTGGAGCTTTGCTCCGCCTCTTTTCACAATCCCCAGAGACTCGGAGTCCAGCTCCAGCCGCCTGAATTGGCGGCCTGGTGGCGAGACATGACTCCCTAGGGCTTCGGGGATGGTGGGGCAGGCTGTCTGCTGTCCATTAAGCCAAGGCTTGGCCCTCTGAGGGCTTGGAGCTCTTCCTAGTGTTTAGGGTGAGGATGTGGGGTCCGGCCCTCCAGCAGCAGCTCCATCCCTTACCCACCTCGGACCCATGGGTACTCAGCCATTTGGGATTTCTGCCAGTTTCCCCTCACAGCCCTCCCCATCTTGATCCCTAGGGAGGACCCACCGGTCGGATGCCTGCAGCCCAAGTTTCCCCGCGCTCTCGAGGGCGCTCTCCTCTGGTCCTTCCCAGGCCGTGTTCCAACAGCCGGTTCTGTGGTTTCCTTTCCTTTCTTTATCACTCTCGAAACCTGGCGATTAAGACGCGAAACCAACAAAGAGTTTTCTTCCCACCTTAACCTTGCACACAATCCTTTAACAAATTAATTAATCCTAATGAATTAACACTTCATTTATTTAAACGCGCTACAGTCCATGAATTAAATTTTCATGCAGTGATTAAAGGCTGTTAAAATATGCATGATTTCGTTAAAATTTTATAATAAATCAGGGCAATGTGTTACATGACAAGGCAACTATTTCCCAGTCCCTCGCAAGGGGCTTTGATTTGTGTGGGCGGCGGGAAGGAGGGGCGGCCGGCTGCGACACCGGCGAGCTGTAGAGCCGGGCGGCAGGACCCAGCTCCGCACTCCTGGGCTTGGACTGGCTGCCTCGCGGTTTTCTCCACGGCTTCCAGACCCCCGAGGGATCCTGCTCCTGGAGGCCGAGAGAGGTCGGCAGGCGCGCCCTTCTGCATCCCCGGAATGTCCCTTGGGCAGAACTGCTGGTCCTTGCCGGTAGGACGAGTTTGCGTCCGGGACCCAGCGGCCGGCCAGAGGCTGTCTGACACGGGAAGGCGACAGATCTTACATCGTTTCCCGTGGGGTCAGGGACTGCCGTACCTGTGGACAAGTTTGTTTGCCGTTATTTTGAGCCAGTGACTGGGACGCTCCTTCCCTGAGCACGCACCTCCATCCTTGAGCCCTCAGGGCACAGACGGAGGGAGCGGTGCAACCTCTGGTTGTTAGGGCCCTAAATTACAGGGGAATGGTAGCCTTGTTAACCAACCGGACTGCAGTGATCATTTGGCCTGCAAAAGTAACACTGTTCACTGACAGGCAGGGAGGCCCAGCGCTTGTGAGGGATGTTCTCTTTTCTCTCCGGGAGGGTTTCATAAGGTAGGTGGGTTTGATGAGAGATTAGGGTGGAAATACAGAAATCTGTATATAATGTATCCAACGCTAAATGTAGAGTGACTTGCAATAAACTTAGTTGGGACACCCAATACAGCCCACAAGATCATCTTTAGATGGGGTGGTTGCAGCCAGTAAGATGATTCCCAAAGGAAGTTGCTTTTTAATTAAACGGCCGGAAAAAAGGGAAGGACAGAGGAGGGAGGGAGAGAAGAAGGAGGAGGAGGAGGAGGAGGAGGAGGAGGAGGAGGAGGAGGAGGAGGAGGAGGAGGAGGAAGGGAAAGAAAGAAAGAAAGAAAGAAAAAAAGAAAAAAAAAAAGCCTTGGCCTTCCCCCAGTTTTCCTGGAAAACCCCCCCCCACTTTGATCACAGCTACAGCACATCTGAGTGGAGAGCGAGGAGTCTGAGAAACCAGTCCGTGTGGACCCAATGCCTAGCAGGCTTGGACGTGGCAAACCAAGGGAGGCTAGCGGCTGGGCTGCTGCTGTGAGGCGGTGGGGGTAGAGAGGAAGGACAGTGGCCTTCTGGAAATCCCGGAGTCCTAGCGATAGAGCGCAGGTTCACAGAGTCCAGTTCAGGGATGCATCAGACCCCGTGGACCATGCAGTGTACATGGTTACTGCCCATCACAAGGAAGGTTTGATGCAGCGATGTTCAGAGTCCCAGGACACCAGAGGAGGTCCTGAACAAGGCGTGAACACCACGGAAGCTGGTGGGATGCTCAGGGAGGAAGCTCTAAGAGTAGGGTACCGCCCTTGGGAGGCGGTCCTGGGGCCATGCCAATCCTCCCCTATGCAGTAAAGGAGGGTGGAGGCACGGACAGGGACTGTCAAAATGAGTCCTTTACCAGAACTCCTCAAACCCTACTTAGGCCTACACTTCCTCTTCCAGGACCTTCACACTGAGCTGCATGGCCTTTAAAATTAGCCGTGTTCTGGACCTTTGAATTATGACAGGGTTCTCGCTGAGTCAAGAAAAGTGACTCATTTGATCCTAGACAGTGCCTGCAGACACTTAACTCCCAGAGCCTATGAACAGCCTCCTTCACCACCAAAGTCTGGGTAGCACCTGCAGGTGCATCCTGCATGACCTTGAACCCGGTGTCATGCCACACCTGTATCACAAGCATCCATCTTCCTGTGGCTTCCCCCTGTTCATAGACTGTCACCTCCCGGAGAGCAGCCATGGCAGCCAAAGCTATAGCAGAAACTCAGTTTCCAGCATCCTTTTGAAAGGAGAAAGCTCGTATCCAGATGGGCAGCAGAAGTTATGCACATCCCCCTGGGTAAAGGGTGAAACCAAGAGAGAGTTCTCCCCCAGACTGAGAGGGTCGTTGCTCAGGGTCCTCCTCAAATGTCCTCACTTCAAGTAACCAGAATGCTCTCTGGTTCTGTAGAGGGGCACTGCCCAAGGAAATAGAAAGCCAGGGCTGCCAAAGGAGGAGGAGAAAATTAATTAATGAGGGAAAGAAATGTGTCTCTGATCCAGATGATAAGCTCTCCATCCCTGGGGGCAGAAATTCCTCAGAAATCAATAACTGTGCACTCATTATCCCCATTCTTGATAAAATGCAGAGCTATGAGAAGGGGTGGGGATAATCTGTGTTGGTCGTTAAACAAGAAGGAGGTGGGGGAATTGCCCCAGAAGCCATGCCAAGGTGCAGACCCCATCTGGGGACTATTAGCACAGGCAGGGGCCAACTAGTTATAGCAGTTGCCAAGCCAGGAAAGCAAAGCAGTGACATGGGGGCTGGGGGACGAGCCTAGGCCTGCCACCCTGTCCTTTTACCCTCATTAGGAAGTGTCCTGGGACAGTGGGAAGCTGAGATTGTGCAGCTTTGGGCAGGATGGCTCTTCAAGCATCACGTTGTACTTTCACATGACAATCTCTCATCACAAATGCCACACCCATAACACATATGCCCTCTCCCATAACACATACACCCTCTTCCCGTGGTTTCCCAACGCTCGTACATAGACCATAAACTCCCAAACATTAGACACTTAAAATTTTTAGCTCCCTTTATCTCTGGTGTCTTGTACTGGCCCAGACCAGAACGGAGCAAACATTTAAGGAAGACGATAAAGAAGATGTTCAGGGGGCCATGAAAAGACCATACAGGGGCGTCTCCCTAGGGCAAGTGCACCCTGTACCAGGCTCTGTCTTAAGAAGAACCCTTCAGAGATCTTGCAATCCCCAGTCAGCCTTGGCTTCCTGAACCTGCTCTGCCCTTATTTCTTGTCCCTGGTCAACAGGCTCTCCTCTTTTCTAAGTACAAATATTGCTTGATAAAGCTGTGTATGTTACAAGTGTCATGGTAGAAAACAAAGGAGGCACGGATGACCTTTGGATTGGGCCCACAGTCCAAAGGTGCCAAGGTGCGGGGGAGGGGGGCGGAGGGAGCCATTTTTCCTATGATAGAAATCTGGCCTTACTCAGAAAAAGAAGAAAAAGTGCCCCCGTTGCCAAAGAGAGGTGAGTTAGTAAGAGAAGCTTCTGACTTCAGGCCCATGCCTCCTCGGGCTGAGTTCATAAGTCTCCCGTGATCAGAGGATGAGCTGAGTTTAGCTTGGAGTAGCTAAGGACATGCGCCCTCCAGCCCTCATCCAGTAGATCCATCTGGCCACAAAGCTACTCTATTTGCCTTGTTATCCGTCCTGCGCCATTTAAGGTCCCTAGAGGCAAGCATTTCTGTCGGGACTTGGAGCCAGGACCACTGGAGCTTGCTACTAAGAAGGCAAGGCATTCTGTCTTATATCACGCAAGAGAACTCAAGGAGCCACTGCAGTGGGTGTCAGGAAGGATTAGGTTAAGCCTGGACACCCAGTGGGGCTGTGACCATAGGACTCACTCTTTCCCTCCAGCGATGTCCCGCTCATAGTCCATTTCCCGCTGAGATAAAGTTGCATTTAGCACTCCCAGGGGAACGTCATAATGGATGAAGAAGTGGCTACTTCTTGCACCAGCAAATGAACATCCTTCTCACTCCCCTCCCAGGCTAGAAGAAAGGGAGGGGTTGGGAGGACAGAAAGGAAAAGAAAGAAAGAAAAGCCAGTGACGCCTGTGGGCTCTCCTTGGAATCTGAATAAACTGGTGGGTATCCTGAAGATACACATGCTCTAAAGCAAAGGGGAAATAAAATCTGCTGGACCGAAGATGTGGGTTTGCAGAGATGAGATCTTCCCTTTGGTGAAAATGCAGACCTCCTTGGTGTGCGAGTGACCTGAAGGATTATGTATCTGATCTCTGCTTCCCATAAAGCAGTTTCTTGTCTCTCTCAGGCTCTCTAGCTAGCAGGTGTGATAACATCTGGACCGTTATTATCACCCTAGGCAAAGACTGTATCCTTAGGGACTTAGGCACCCGAGCTGAGGCTCTCCAGAGAGGCTCTTGATCTTCTGCTACATGAGAGTAATATAACAGGTTCATTAATTTATTTCTTCTTCTTAGGTTTTAATTTCACAGTTGTTACTATTATTAACATTGTTATTACTATTATTGAAGGCTGGACTAGACAGCATACCAGTTCCTTCTATCTGATTTGAATTTATATTTTGAATCACAATCTCCTATAGGTTAGCTTCATTCCGTATCTCAGGCAAGAAAAATACTATAAGCAGGCAGATATAAAAAGCAAGGGTGCAAAACGATGCAAAAGAAAGTTCTCTTTTCAACATCTTATTCCCTTTTCTCTGAAGTGGATTTCTTTTCTGGGAGTTTCCAGAGGGAAAAAAGTGTGTGTGTGTGTGTGTGTGTGTGTGTGACTGGAGAGGAAAAGATAAAGATCCCGGCTACACCCTGTTTACTATTTTTTCCCTTTTGATGACTAGAAGCCTCAGATCACCTAGAGCTCCTTTGAAATGTGAGTTTGTACACGGTTAAAGGAGACAAACAATAAGAGAAATGCACAATTTCATTTCAACAGCCTTTCCCGAGTAGAAAGCACATACTCCTCGCGGCTCCTAAGTGACTGTCACTGGTGGTGCCTGACACAGTTATATTCACAACAACAAAGTATGCAGAGAAATTAAATTACGTGGAAATCAATAGCGTCTGACTGCTTCAAACAACTGTCTGTCATGGCTATTATTCTCCAGGAACCTATTTATAAACCATGAAAGAAACAGGTTCTTGCAGCATAAAGGCAGCATCTTCCACATCGCATTTGTGTGTTGTTATTTTTTTCTCCATATACAGAGGAATGCACGGGCATAATTTAACATACAAATGCCTCTCTGTATACATTATATAACAGCTTGTTAGGCACAGGGTAGTGGAGGTGTGCCTAAATAATGCACATATATTCTGGGAGGAAAACACAGCGAGAAGAGCGCTTGCATCCTGTCTTTCTTCCTCCAAAAGGTGCCTGCCCTTCAACAATAGCTGGCCTTTTTTGATCTTTGCAGCCCCGCGGAGGCAAGGTGGGCCGTGCAGTGCGCATGCCCGGCCAGCTACAGGTGCATCACCTGCCTTGTCCTTGCCGGTGGTCACTATAAGAGCGGCTCCCACGCGCCGCCGCCGCCTCCGCCGGTGGCGGCTCGACGAGCGCGCGCGCGCTTGCTCGCTCGCACGAAAGCTCGCTCGCCCAAGCACGGCGCAGCGCGGCCGCGGGGAGGGCGCGCGCCCCAGACAGACGGAGCCAGCTGCTGTCTGTCAGCGCGGCGGGGCCCGCGCAAGCTCTCGCGAGAGCTGCCCGGGGCCGGCCGCGAGAAGTGGGGCTCAGGTGTAAGAGGAGCGCAGCCCGTCGGCGCGCCGGGGCTAGAGCTCTCGGAGAAGCGGGATCGCGGGACCTGCGCGCGGGCGGGCGCTCTGCGCGGTCCGAGGCAGCGGGCCGCGCTCGCCGGCTCAGCAGCAGCAACAGCAACAGCAGCAGCAGCAGCGGCGGCAGCAGCAGCAGCAGCCCCCGAGGCGAGCCGCTGAGCCGAGCCGCCCAGCCGAGCGCAGCCTCCGGGACAGAGGCCGGGCGAGCCGGCGTGCGCACTTTGCCGCGGACTTTGCGGAGTGTTTGGATTTTTTTTTTTTCCATGCCAAGCCGCCAAGATGATGTCTATGAACAGCAAGCAGCCTCACTTTGCCATGCATCCCACCCTCCCTGAGCACAAGTACCCGTCGCTGCACTCCAGCTCCGAGGCCATCCGGCGGGCCTGCCTGCCCACGCCGCCGGTAAGCGCCCCACGCCCGCGGCCCCGGCCCGCTCGCCCGCGCGCTCAACCCCTCCCCCGCTCCGCGTTGCTGCATGGCGGCCGCGGCTGCTGCTGCCCTGTGCGGCTCCGGGGCCCCGCTCCCGCGGGCGGGCGGGACTCTTCTTACAGGGACCCCGCTGCGGGGCACGTGTGGCCCGGGGCCGCTGGAGGCCGTGGTCCGGTCCGCCCGTGCCTCTGTCCAGCGCCTGCCATCCGCGGGGAGCTCCGGGGCCGCGGCTCTCGACTTGCCTCCACTTTCTCGGTTAATGTCACGCCTGCACAGGGCGATCTCTGCGCTCGCTCGCTCTGTCCCTCGCTCGGGTGTATGTGTGTGTGTGGCACGGGTCCTAAGCTTCGAGTGACATCTCCGTTTCTTCTTTTTCTTCTTCTTTTCGTCCTCTTTATTTATTTTTGTCGTCTCCCACTTCCTTTCCCGGAATGTGCTCCCGTGTCCCCTTCGACCCTTCGCTGCTCCCGTGTCTCTGTCCCCTTCTGTGTCCCCCCCATCCCACCCCGGCATGTTCTCAAACCGTCCCCCGGTCCTCCGTTTACCCTGCTCTTCCCACCTCCCCGTTGTTTTTTTGGTCGCTTTGTGTTTTGCCTTTTGCCCGTGCTTTCCGGCTTGTGTGTTTGTTTTATGGTTTTTTTTTTTTTTTGGTGTTTGTCCCCCCTTTTTCCTTTCCTTTCTTTTTCTTTTCTTTTTCTTTTTTGTTTGTTTGTTTGTTTGTTTGGTTTGGTTTGTGTCGCCTGCAGCTGCAGAGCAACCTCTTCGCCAGCCTGGACGAGACGCTGCTGGCTCGGGCCGAGGCGCTGGCGGCCGTGGACATCGCGGTGTCCCAGGGCAAGAGCCACCCTTTCAAGCCGGACGCCACGTACCACACGATGAATAGCGTGCCCTGCACGTCCACGTCCACCGTGCCGCTGGCGCACCACCACCACCACCACCATCACCACCAGGCGCTCGAGCCCGGTGACCTGCTGGACCACATCTCGTCGCCGTCGCTCGCGCTCATGGCCGGCGCCGGGGGCGCGGGCGCGGCGACGAGATGT